ATGCTGCTTAAACTAGGGACATTTTTAGCCAATGACTACAAAACATCGCTAGTCTAAGCGGGATAGATTGAATAAAACAAGACTTTGGAGACCTTTCAACAAGAAAAACAATACCTCTATTCACAGGGAGGTAGTATATGTGTACATGTACTGTTCACCCTTAGTGTTATCAGTGTTATGATTCCTGGTACTGGGACAGTTACAGAAAACATATCACCTGTTTGTGAAAAATGTATTATCATCAATATAATTTTCTATAGCAAAGTTAATGTTTAATGTTTACAACTGATGAACTGTTACATAGCTAATGTACACAGTGAATGTTGTACTCCTTCAACCAAAGTGAAATGTTAAGTTTGTGAGACCACAATAAAATATGCTGTAGAGAGAAGTGTAAACAGTTAGGGTTAAATGTTCTTCTTTCATATTTTTCTCAAGTTACAATGTATGTGAGGCAGATTAGTGTTTGTATATTGTAATAAATACCTCAAATACATTGTGCTGATAGCTATTTAATGTTATAGATAACAAGTAAAATCTGAGATTTTATACCTCTGGGCTTTTTATTGTATATTTTTATCTGCAGCCCATAACCATTTTTAGGGTCAAAGGGGTGTCCAGGGGCGCCAAAAGGCATCATTTTCACACCCGAAAACATACAATAAAAACAAAAGGACGTGCACCATCTACATTTGTACAGACCAATAGCAAAACGTATACTGAATCCAAAAAAAAACCGTCCACCCAAATGTGAGAAACAGCTGTGAACATGAAAATCCCAATCCGGAGGTAATGAGGATTTGAGGTGTGCAGAGATCAGGTGACATGTCCATGTGAGAAACAGGTAGACAATAGGTGCATTCCACACTAAGAGATGGAACCGACCAGGCTGGAAGATCAATGAAAATTGGAGTAAATTTGGTCTAGTAGTTAAACTTAGTCTAGTACTTTTTGCAGGGTAGGAGAAAAAAAAATTACTTGGTAAGCAAATATAGATGTTTATTGCAAATTCATGCCCGAGGGCTAATTGCATACAGACATTAACAAGAAAAATGTGGTGATATAAGACTATTTGCTAACAACTTCTACGTGTACGATATATTCATCAAACCTACTATCTCTACTTAAACCTAATAACGTTGGTATACATTTATTTATTTACATGTATTTATTTCTGTCTTCTTTATACAGGGTAGACGCACTCAGTACAATATACTGCTTTACAGGCGTTACATACAGGGTAAAAAGTAGATATACAATATGTGACCAGGTAATAGGAACAAAGTAACTGCTATTCTAATCTATTCTATTAAACTATTCTTGCCATGCTATTAGGGGTTTTGACTTCTTCTCAGGAGGCAGTGGGAGATGAATTGTCCGACTCTTTGAAAAATAAATGGGTTGGGAGACTTTAGCAATAATATAGTCTTTTGTTGTTGGTGGAGATATGAAAAACTTGGGGAAATATTGGCGACTTCTTTGAATAACTTTTTCTTTCAAGATCGTAATGAGGACACTGACAGATAAAATGCATTTCATCTTCCACTGCTCCCTCTGTACAGTATTTACAGAATCTTTCGCTTACAGGCAGTTTCTTATATCTTCCTCTCTCTATCTCTAATGTGTGAGCGCTTAGTCTCATTTTACATAGAGATGATCTTAGCTCAAAATCAGGGTGATGCAGATAGGTTTCCGTATTATAGTCAGATTTTAGTTTTCTATACAATCTTAATTTGCCGCTATTGATAGATAAATTGTGGAGGATTAGGTTTGAATATACATGTCTGTTAGTCTTTTTCTCAACGATACACATACAAATCTATTGTTTACATGTAGATTGCTATTTTGCCAAATGAACGAGTTACCGCTATTGTCAAGTATCTCTTTCACGTGGCATAACCAGTTTTTCTTGTTGCCGTTTAACATATCATGTTGTTGCGACAATAATAGAGCATTCACTTGTAGAGGATGTGTGCAGAAATCCAGTTGTCTTAGCCGTAACCAGTTCTTTACAACCCTGACTGAAACATCTATATCTAGGGGAAATCTGCCGAGTTCAGCTTTACATGCAATGTTGCTGGCATTTCTGTGAATACCGAGAATGTTTTTACAGAAACGGTTAATATAGGTCTTTGCAGAGTTTTAACAATTAAAATTGTTTGTTACTCAGAAATCCCAGAGAAGTTTGGTTGTTTTGCACTCTGGTGTACAATTTTTGGCTTTCGTACAAAGTGAAGTTTCTAGGGGTTGGGGAGCTGGCAAAGAACCTACATGTAGCTATTTTTACTCAACAAAGTTTGAGTGAAGAATTAAAAGAATTCCTGTATCAACTAATAACTAATGTTAATCATAAAAATTAATATTAACTAATGATTCAGTCAGCAAAGGCTTTAAATTGCTTGACAATTGTTTTGGACAGAAATCAGTCCTACTGGTTGTTCGGACTAAAGGTTAAAACTTGTGTGACAATTGGAAATGTTTTTTTAGAGGGTTTCAATAAATAATGTAGAAAAGAATGTCATCACCAACGAATGTATATTCTGTGCAATGTCAATATTTATTTATTTCATCTTATAAACACCTGGGTGGCCTCTTCAACAGTAAATTGTTGATTTTCAAGAGGGCCCAGGGACACATAAACATAAAGCAATTGTATAAAAGTAAATTATACAATCAAGTAACATAACTAAGAAAAGTTACCAGAGATCAGTATAACTGAAAATCAGTATAACTGAAAAATTAACAAATGATACAGAAACAGAAATATACAAACCAAAATGTCAAAATCACAACCCATAATCGTGTCCAAATTACCGTTCCAAGGTCAAAAGAATCACTGGAGGTCAGAAATCTGTTTAACAACTGCCTTGAAGCGTTTCAGAGTTGGGATCTGTCTTATGTCTGCCAGGAATATGTTAAAGCAACTTGTACATGTACCTGTGTAAGCAAATGTTCGCTGACCTGCTGTGCTAGTATAATTTGGTAAATGTAGCTTAGTAGTCTGTCTTGTGTTATAAGTATGAAGATGATAATTATGGCAGAAAGTAGAAGATAGGTATGTTGGTGTCAGGCCATTCAGACATTTAAATACCATCACACAAGTGTGTTCAAATCTCCTTTCGGTCAGGTACTTCCAGTTCAGTGTCTGGTGGAGGCTGTCAGTGCTGCTGTCATGTGGTCTGTGTCCAATAGACATTGGGTGTAAGAGCTGTAACCTTGTAGTGCCCGTACCCTCACCTGTAATGTAAGTACCACTTACGGTGCTTAGGTTGAAGACAAACCACTAGCCTGGGAGGGAAAGACTGGCCGAATGAAAGAATCATGTCTGGAAGAAGTGACACAATTCTAAAATATGATAGTCTTCAATTTTTCAAATTTTTCTCTAAATGATTTAAATGTTTCAAGTATGGACTTCCTGTCATGAAAATCTATCAATGCCTTCTTGTCACTGAGTTATTCTCTGTCAAAGTTTCAAACAAAACATGTCCCTGTAGTATGATAAAGCTACTGACAGGCCCAAGCCTACACATTTCCTGAGCCTAAGAGCTACATGTATCTGCCACCCAAAACTCATGACCCTATAAGAATATCAACAAAAGTTAGACTGCAGTTTGTACAATAGAGATAGCTGCTTGGATGCCCATGATCAAACTTTTATTCTTTTTACTTACACCTACAATAATTGTATACCAACATTTATGTAATAAAGATCCGTCCACAATTCAAGTTTGGCTGTCAACAAACAAACATATTCATAAAAGGAATCTTATTTTCAAAGATAATAATCAATAATCAAAAACTGCAATACTAAACACCAGCTATTAAGTACTAGGCTACAGCTGCTAGCCTTGGAATGTAATTTCATCAGGTTCACAACTTCAAACTACTGTTAAATTCACAGCAAACTCATCATTGCACAAAAACAGAAGGCGAAAATCATTTCTATGATATCCTAGCTTATCTTTAATAATATAGGAAGTTCCCCATATATACTGAAGTACTCAGCTACAAAATGTCACTCTTTTTCCATGTGCATGATTACTGGTAAAGTACATTCAGCTTTTTAATGTCACTATAAACAACAGTTCAAGCAAGGGAGTCATCAAGCAATATTGCCATATATTTTATAGTAGTCTCAAGCACTAAAAACAGGAGAGTTTCCTTTGGTGCCATACGTGTAGTTTTCAGTCACATCAGTCTCATGTTGAACCTGCATATTTAAGGTACCCACCAACATATTTAAATTTAATTCTTGTAAAAGCTCTGTCATCAATGTAATTTTACATACCAAAATACATGTAGGTATGCCAATGAATTCGAAGGTAGAGACACACAAAAAACAGTTAGTACTCAAGTGACTGGATAGATTTTGAAAACAGTCAGACATTTCAAGTAGCATCCACTTTTTTTGTCAGTAACGTACTAGTATGTTCAAAATAAAATTTCCAGGAATCTTAATATGTAATAGATTTATCAGAGTGACTGTGGACACTTTGCTGACAATGGTAAAGTCAGTCATTTACATCACTGAGCTCTGAATAAACATGATCTACCATGTACATGTATACACATGCTTTATAATCATATTTGTAAAACAGCCATTTACATTACACCTTTGTCCCCTTTTCATAATGTATAGTTTTTAATCCACAACCTTTGGTCTTACTTAATATGTATGTATAGGTTGATAAGCTTCTGCTAAAACCATGTTGTATTAAGGCCACACTAATTTAATTTCTTGGTTAATGGATTTTTCTATAAAAAAAAAGGAGCCAGTGGGCGAAAAAAATAAAAACAGGCCTAGGCATCCTATTATGGCCCAAAATGGTACGATAGGAGCCATGAAGTCAACACACCAGACTGGTTCAAAATTTAAACAATGAATTTTGAACTTTTTATGATACCACTGTATTGAAAGATGGAATAACTGTAACAACTAGGATGAAAAGGACTGTTTTCAAGTGTTCAGGGCAAAATATGAGCATTTTGCAGTAACTGTTGATTCTGAATTTTTTTTTTTTGCAAATCAGAAAAAAATGAAGCAGGCGAATCCGTTTACCAAGAAATTAAATTGGTTAGGCTGAACGACACTTGAATCAATCTGTTCCATTAAACGTCTTCCTTCTGTATCCACCATGTCCCAGGTTTCTGCTCCTCTTACTTCCTGGCCGTGTCGTAGTTCTCAGTAAACCAGTCACACGTCTCCTTCAGAGCTGCACACAGAGAAGAAATCATGAAAATGTTAGGGAAAAATTACTCAAGAAAGGCAATGGGAAAACATCTAAAAAAAATGAAACTGAAGAAGCAAAAAAATTATTCCCACAAGTTTCACCATGAGTCAACCTGCTGGTCTGTCCCTTACCATATAACTGATGATTACAGACTGAGGCAAGATTATGGGTTAGTTTCCCTACTTAGTTAGATCTTAGTTCTAGAAATCTTTTCTTGTGCACAGAATGATTTTCTTGCTACAAGAAGAGTTAGATCTTAGTTCAAGAAATCTTTTCTTGTGTACAGAATGGTTTTCTAGAAAACTTCGAAATTCTTACTGCAAGAATAATATTCTAAGGGTATTTAGTTCAAGATACATAAGAAAATTAATCTTACTATAAGAAAAATATGCTAAAATGCAGTTTCTTGAAATTCTTGTCTCATGGACAAGATTTTTTTCTTGGGTGAAGAATAATTTTCTCAGTGGAAGAAAATTTTTCTTCTCTGAAGAAAAACAAGATTGGCATTTTTTGTAGTGTCATGTACTTATAATAATACCAGGTCAGAAAATAACAAATACTTAGTCTAGTAGTCATGCCTTCATGTACCAGAGTTATATCAATCAAAGATTCGGGTGTTCAAAAACTTGTTTTTCCCTAGAACTATTGCAGAGTGGAACTCACTGCCACCAAGTACAGTAGAGGCATGATCATTAGATAGCTTTAAAGGATGTTTGGTGTAATATAGCCAGCTGCTACTGCATGTGAGCTGGTATGTTATGCCAAAAGACAGTTGTACCGGTTATACAGATGGAGAGTGCCAAGAGCAAAATATCTGCAATGTTTGGTAGGCTGGACCGACTAGACAAAAAGCCCCTGTCACACATAGCCAAATATCACCTCCCAAACACTAAACAAACTCCACTGAACCATATGGTTAGGAGCCTTTTGGAAGCAAGGTCGGCTGGTGTTCAGTAAAGGACAGGGCATGGTATGCTGTGAAATTTCACTCAAATCTAACTCATATTCAATTTGATTCAAGTAGAAAGGTGAGCGTGGCCTAAATCTGGCCGGACCACTTTTGACCTTCAGCCAACCTTGTTTGGTAGGTGTTCAGAGGAAGGTTTAATGTATGACAGGGTTTAACATAAGGCCACAGCAAGAACATTTTATGGATGACATCCTCCGCAGACTCCAAATCTAATGCGAGTGGGCGAAAAAAAAACAAGACGGGCCAAAAAAAACATGGTTCCAACATTTTAAAATTTTGACTCAATCATTGTACAAAATGGTTTTTATTCAGTGAGAACATCACATACATGTATACATGTACACAGCCAGCATCACATATCACTAGCATCAAAGTATGAAACAAACATTAAATCAGAGCCTTTTCTTGTCTCCTCTCTTCATAGTTATCTGCCATCCACCTTCCGGCATGGCAACAGACATATTTGCCCATTTTCGGCATGTTGACCACTGTCAGAAGGCAACAAAATTTCTTGTTTTTTTTTTCCAAAATCAGGCAAAAATTAATGCACGCGTTGATGTCATCCACAAAAATGACTTGCTGTGGCCGAACATGACACCTACCCTGTTTGATCGGGGTGAACCTGAAGTCCGGCAGGTACTTCCTGAGTTTGGCATTGCTGGCCGTCTTCTTGAACTGACCGTCAGATTTGGTGGTGTCAAACTGGGAACGGTTAAGGTTTAGCAACTTTTATACTGTGGGAAAGTTTGACAATGTTCATTGTTCGCTACCCTTCTCCCTGCCAAGGTAGCCATTTGGCAAATTTTGTGTTGTTTATGGAGTTAGGTAGAAGCAGGGAGTAGCTCTCTCTCTCAGTCACACACACCCATATTCACTCTGTCACACATACATGTACACATAAACCACACATACATACACACAATCACACACACAGACATGAAAACATACACATTTTGTACTGTAATTCACACAGTACACACACACAATTACATTTGTACACACACTGTCAGACACAAAGAAACATCACACACACAGACACACAGACACACACACACACACACACACATTAAGGATACGATGACCTCTCCTTTAAAGTCCATAGCGTCCACCACCAGCTCTGCACACTCCTTAATAGAGATTTCATCCTCCTCTCCAACTGTAACAAACCAATAGGACAGACATCAGCTGTCATCAGTCCGTATCACTGTCACCTAAGACCACACCAATTTGATTTGTTGTTTATCAGATTTGCCCTCTCCATTTTTTCCTGATTTGCAAAAAAACTACTAGGTTCTGCATCAACTGCAAACTGCTCAATGAAACTTTAAGACATATTTTGCCACAAACTGAAGAAAGTCCTTTTCTTCCTAGTTAAAATTTTTTCAATGAAACAGTGCAACAGTCTTTGTTTCATTAAAAGTTCAAAATCTATTGTTTTAATTATAAACCAGCCTGGTATATTCATGGCTCATATTGTAACATTTACGGCCTTCATGGGGTGCCTTGGCCTATTTTTATTTTATTTTGCCCAGTCGCTTCATATTTTTTCTAAAATAATCTGAGAAACAACAAATTATATTGGTGTGGCCTTACAGCAAATTAAGTGGTGCTGGGAAAGCTTCAACATTGCATTCAGATCAGAGCATAAAGTACCAAAACATGACTGTCGGTGGAAATATTGAAGATAGAAACTCTGCTGTTCAACTACATGCATGATAATTACTATGTGACTGTATAAGCTTAGGAAATACTGATGCCCATAGGAGCATGTTGCCAATCTAATAGGCCCTGCCATAGCCTATGCACAAGATGTTCAAGTGTTTACAGAATTGAGCTTTTTCCTACAAGCAAAATTAGACTTTACAAGGTGGATTCTGACTGGATGTTTGTGAAAGTCTAACCTGAGAGAATGATGGGGTCCACCTCCTGATAGTCCTTCAGTACCCACACCATCAGCCTGGCCAGGTCCTGGGGACATGTACATGAAATGAAATACCTTTATTGTACATTCATGCCACGACAGGCTAGGTACAGGTCAAGATATAACAGACACATTACAGACGTTTGTAGAAAAGTGGAGACAAAAGATACACTACTTGACTTAGACATACATACATAAGGAACATACAATGTACAAGACTTAGGTTACTAGGCTAATACAAAGTGTTTTTAAATTAGTTACTGAGCTAATACATGTACAGAGTGGTCAACTTCTTCTCGCTTTTTTGTACAATGGAAAATGTGGGAACAGATCATATTTGTGATACAGGGTTTGTCTAGATGCATCAAATATATAAATTTATCATTTGAATCTAGGTGTTCGAAGTATGTGAACTTCTCTGTACCAGTCATTAGGTTCTACAACAGCTACTCTCCAAGCAGAGGTTTGGGCTTTGTCTTACATGTATTTTGGAGTGTTTTCAGTATTTTTTATCAGACTTTTGTTTTTTTGCACTGGTATCTTTTTTTTTACACCAACCCAACTGATACCAGTGCTAACAAGAAAGCCAGACCAAAAAAGGCCTAAAAACATGCCAAAAATAAGCTAAAGCTCAAACCTCTGCTTGGAGAGTATTCAACAGTGGCACTTTTCCGGTGACAACACATACATGTACATGATTGTATACACAAAAGTTCCTTTTTTGGTTCTAAATTAGCTGCAAAATGCTTGATGAAAGACATATTTTGGACATAAAAGACATAAAAGTTCAAAATTCATTGTTTAAATTTTGAACCAGCCTGGTGTGTTGAATTCACGGCTCTTATCGTACCATTCTGGGCCATAATAGGATGCCTAGGCCTGTTTTTTTTTTTTTTCGCCTGCCTGCTCAATTATTTTTCTAGAAAAATCCAAGAAATTAAATTGGTGTGGCCTAAGAAATGCTAACGTTATATATTGTATATTCAGCTAATATAATAGAAAACTCACATAAGAATAAATAAATTGTCTCCTAGGTGAACCTGTGCCCCAGACTGTCAATGGTTTGTTGTCTCCTGTAAAATAAGTGGTACCAACATTTCATTTCATCTGAATCAAAATGAAATGGCATGGCAAAAAGCTACATGGTCGTTGCCATACATGTACATTGTATCATGTACAACTGTTGTGCAATTAAGTTCTTCTTCTTCTATAAACAAGACCATGATTCTGTTATCTCCTGGACCATGGAGTTTCCCAATCATCTTCAACTACTTGGATGTTTTTGTCTGGAACATTACAGGCTCGGAATACTGGGTGCATGTGCACCTTAGTGCACCCAAATTTGGAGCTGTGCACCCAGTTTTTTTCTGTGGGTGCACCAGTGCACCCAAATGTTTTTTGTAGGTTTACGTATACACTGTATGTCAAGATGTTAAATTTAGAGTAGTACTAGTATTCAGCATATTCCTAACATCTAAATGTCAGAAAAATAGTAAAATCATTCTTGTAGTACTTTTCTTTAGAAACAAATCATAATTAGTTTTTGCTGATATAATTTATATAGTATATATAGCACAGAAAATTTTGTGCACCCAATTTTTTAGGTTGGGTGCACCAGTGCACTTATTCCCAAAAATAAATTTTGAGACCTGGTAACATTACAGATAAGTATTTGCAAACACAAATTCCCGGTGTGATGGATATGATATGATTCCCACCTATTGTACATGGGATTGTGTGGCATATGTTGTTTTGTAATGGTTGGGTGTTTGGCCATGAACCCATACATGTACATGTGTAGGTCCCACTGTCCTGGATTCAAATTCACCAACATGCCCAGATGTTGTGCCCTTGGAAAATGCACTTTAGGCCACACCAATTTGATTTGTTGGTTCTCGGATTTCTTCATAAAAAATATGAAGTGACATGGCGAAAAAAAATAAAACAAAAACAGGTCTAGGCTGTGATAGGAGCCATGAAGTCAATACAGAAAAGGCTGGGTTAATATTTCAACAAGGAATTTTGAACTTTTAATCAAACCACTGCATTTGTAGATGGAAAAACTGTAGGAACTAGGAAGAAAAGAACTTTCCTCAACTGTTGGGGGCAAAATATGAGCATTTTTTAGTTGATTCAGATCCAGAATCCTTTTTTTTATTTTATTTTTTTGCAAATCTGAAAATGCGAATCCGAGAACCAACAAGTTAAATTGGTGTGGCCTTACACAGCTTTCCTCACTTCACTCAGGTGAAAATTAGTACCTAGCTTTGGTTAGGAACATCTCTCAGATAGGATGTTAAATAGAGGTCCTGTGTTTGAGGAGAGCCACATCCCATGCACTTCAAATATAAAGAACCCACCACACCTTCCTAAAAGAGTAAGAGCATGCACTGGAGAGCTATGCTGCACTCTGGTGATTCACTACCGACTCCAGGCAGAATAGCGTGAAGTTCACACTAAGGCCAGTCCAATTTAACTTCTTGGTTAATGGATTTTTCTAGAAAAATAATGGAACGGGCATGTGAAATAAAAACAGGCCTAGGCATCCTATTATTGCCCAAAATGGTACAATAGGAGCCATGAAGTCAACATACCACTGGCTGGTTCAAAATTTAAACAATGAATTTTGATCTTTTAATGATACCACTGCATTGAAATATGGAATAACTGTAACAACTTGGAAGAAAAGGACTGTTTTCAACTGTTCAGGGCAAAATATGAGCATTTTGCAGTTGATTCTGAATTTTTTTTTTTTGTCAAATCAGAAAAAAATGAAGCGGGCAAATCCGTTAACCAAGAATTAAATTGGTGTGGCCTAATGGAGATGGAGATCGTAATGAAACAAACAAACAAACATGGTTGCACTTACTCTTGGCTGTGTAGACCTTATGCACGAGCCCAGGCACCACATGGCCGTCCTCCAGGTTAAAGTTATCATGAGGACCAAACACGTTAGTGGGGATGACTGAGGTAAACTTGCAGCCGTGCTGAACATAGTAGGCCCTGCAAAGTCAACATCAACTAGTTACAGTAACTATGAAATAAAAAATAAGCTTTAACTTCCAACACTTAGATTACAGAATTGGGACTTACCCAAATTTTCGGTTGACTCCATCAACCTCATTCACGGAATGGACCCGTCTACTCTTGGAACGTGACGTCAGAGACATGTGACCATAGTAGCGGGTCACGTTCCAAGAGTAGACGGGTCCATTCCGTGAACAAGGTTGATGGAGTCAACCGAAAATTTGGGTCCCAATTCTGTAATCTAAGTGTTGGAAGTTAAAGCTTGGTCTTTATTTCATAATGACTTGTACCAACACAGATGAAGTTTCATGCTAAATCAACTACTTACTTACATTTGTAAGTGAAAAATGGAGGTATTGTTTTTGGTATGCCTGTGTTTGTGTTTGATCCAGTCATTAGAAGCTCTAAGGAAGCATAAGCAAGGTGCGAGACATTACTGGTTGTGTAAAAGAGAGCTCCAATATCTAACTTTTTTTAATGAAGAAGTAGTAAAACCAGGATTTTCAGTCAATTTTCTGGCCATTTTACATATCATACTGATATCTGCAAGGTACATGTTGATGATGTCACTTCTTTCATATTGTAGGCTGGCCCTAGCTATTTATTGGTGATACCAAAACATAAAATTAATGAACTCCTCACATAACTTGTTTTTGGGCTTCAAGTATGAAATGACGATGTTCTGGGGAATGGCAGTAAATGCCAAGGTCAGACGGATTTATTCAGAATTATATTGTTTGTTTTGCTTCCCTGAAATTGCCTGGATGCCTTTAATAGTGTGCATACATAAAGAAGGCATCTAACAGCTTTACTTTGCTGCACAGTACCAAAGCTATACATGTACAATCCTTGCCTTGCCTCATTTACTGTCTATGAAATGCTGTGTGATGTGTACATGTGGAATCCTAGTGTAATGTTTTAGTGACAAAAGAAGGAATCTGCATCCTAAGTTTTACCTGTTCTGCACGTCAATCATCCTTTTGGCATAGGAATAGCCAAAGTTGGAGTCGTGGGGAGGGCCATTGTGGACCTAGGAGAACAAATTACATGTAAATAAACTTACTTCACATATGAATAGTTTTATATACATAAGTCACTATACACTAGGCTATCATCTTCTGCACCTGGATGTATCTCAATTGATTTAAATAGCAACCCGTACACTGTATACAGTTATATTATTATTATTATTATTACATAGAAAAATAAATTAAAGAATGTAGATGTTAGAAATCTCTCCAATTATTGTGAATGCAATAGGACATGTTTTCTACATTTCCAACTCTAAAACTTGAAGAGGTCCTTAAAAAAACCTTTCTTGCATTCCTCTATCTCCAACAAATGTACTGAGTAAGGCCGGCTTTCCAACAAATGTACTGAGTAAGGCCGGCTTTAGACTGACAACGATTGAATAGTCTTGCAAGTATTTATTGTATTTTTTGGCCGTCAAAGAGAATCAAAATAGTTGCGCAGAATATCCTGGAATAATCGTCACTACCACCTTGAACCCTATCGTGTGATCCTTCAGCGGGGTGTCCAATCTGCTGCAGCATGACGAAAACAAGGGGGTTCTCTCGCCATTTGGAATTCACGCGGTGTGCCATCCTGCGCTATGTGTCTAAAGAAAGCCGTCTCTCAATTACCGTGCAACTATCTACCGTCGTCAGTCTAAAGTGGACCTAAGTCTCTCACCATAGTTTCGTCTATGGGGTACGTTGTCTTGTCAGGGAAGATGCAGGTAGAGAGGCAGGAGACACATTTCCGCACTCCATTCTCGTAGGCCAGATGTAGCACGTTGTCGTTAATACGTATGTTATTCCTCTGTAAAAGACCAGTAATACACATACAAATGTAAGTATCATTCAACACATATACATGTATCTCGAAAGTTCATCTGTGTTGGTAGAAATTATTAAGCAAGTTTAAAGGGCAATTTCCAACACAACGTGTCACGTGTGTTATCTGTGTGATGTCACAGAAGTGGTGGATTGTTCATTCCTTGACAAAGACTGGAGTTGTACAGTCAAAAATTTGGGTGAGTCCAATTTGTTGTGTTGGAAATTGCCGTTTAAACTTGCTTCATAACATATACAATCATGTACATGAGGCTGGACTCCAAAGCTGGTACAACCAACCTGGTGTCAGCAACCACAAAAGGGACAGAGGAACGTGGTTGCTGATAAGGTGTGGTTTTTAATACTCCAGACAAGGTTGGCTGTCCAAATGATTGGACTGGTACATGTATGTAACTTACATTGTAAGTGTGATACTAAGTCACATGATAATCACAGAATAACGAATGACCTTTATTGTATGTTTATGTCCTACCTGGGCCGCGATTACGTTCAATACGGGTGTTCCGGCCCGTGTGATAACTAGCGGTACGGCCCGGGGGTTCTTAATGCGTACAGCCCTAGCTTCCAAATGTTCCATAGAACTATTCGAACGCGTTTTGCCCTAACCGCGTGCACTGCTTTCAAAAATTCGAATACAAAATTTGGACGTTGGAATAGATGTTGTAATGCATTTTTTGGGTTTAGGGACACCAAATTTTCGCTCAGTTCGCATTGACAGGTGTGTTTTCTTGGGTGGGTATGATATAAATAAAATACAACACGGTGTATTCCGCATCGCCCTCGGTCCCAGCCCTCCCACGGATCGGATCTCCCTCCGGCCTTCGGGCAATCCTACTCGCGCTCTGGCTGGTACCTCGGGCGATATGGAATACACCGTGTTGTATTCTATATTTATTGCCCTCACAAGCTACTGAAGTACACATCATGTACAAATGTACATTCAATTTTTGTACATGTAGAAAGAGAGGTAAAACTTACAGTTACTGTAATAATACTGATACCTTGCTTGAACTATACATATATCAATTTTGTACTAAATGTGAACTGCTATTTACAGGTTCTTGCTTGCATGAGGAAACTTTAATTTTCAATGTCAATGTTAGAAAACCAATTGTACAACATTTATTGTACAAAAAGTCTAGGGTCAGCAGGTTTTTCTAGGGTCGGTCAGGAAACAGGAAACACAATTTTTTCCTAGGCCTTACCCAGAAGTCCAGGTTGTACTTGAGGTTGCGGAACAGCCCCCCCACCATGGCGGCCAGGTGGATCACATGGGTCGGCTGATGCCGCTCAAACAACGCCTGGGTCGCCGCGGGGTCTCTGCAAAAATTTACTCATCAACATTACACTACAACAGGACAACAGACACCAAGGACTGAAATAAACTTCTCCTTTCTGGTCTGCCACTTGTGTCCATGGATCAGGAAGGGTTGCAAAGCAATATTGGTAAGGTGGAGTCTGAAAGGGCATCCATGCCTGATTGCAATTTAACAAGTAAGGGGAATGGAGCAAATTTATTATTGTTATGTTATTGTACAATGTAACATTTTTGCACCAAAAAATGAAATATATTTAGACTACATTGTAATTGAAAAAAAAATCTGTACACGTGATTGTCAGTTACATGTACATGTACTTCCACATTTCAATACATTTTGAATTTTTTCACAATTCAGATTTGTATGGTTGGCAATTAACAGCCCATACAAGGTGCCCTCAATTTGTGGCACCACCACAAACTACCAGAATTGTGATATTTTGGCACTTTCACTTCCTATATGGCACTTATTTGCAATGAAGTATAGTAGGGTTGATTCAACTAACTTTGTAAAGAAATGACCAAAAATGTACATTTTGTCTCGTTCAAATGTTACATCATGCAGTTGTGTACATGGCCCAATATTAATATTTTTTTATTTGCAAAATCATGCCCGAAGGCTAATTGCTTTTACAATGAAGTATATGTCGTTCGTCCGTCAGGTTGACGAGGACCGTTGAGTATAATACTCATTGCAATACAGTAACAGGAGACAAGTAACAACTGTCTGGAAAAAACTTATACTTCTACTACTACGCTAGCTATTATGGGGTTCGACTTCTTCTGTGAAGGCAGTGGATAATGAATAGTCCCACATTCTGCATACTAGTAAGTAATTAGTGGGTTTTGTGATCTTAGTAGAAATGTAGTCTTTTGGTGATCTTTTGAATGATGAAAGGATGGAGAAATTGTTGTTAAATAATCTGTTAGTTTCGGTCCCATAGTGAGGACACTGGCTAACAAAATGTATTTCATTTTCCACTGCATTCATTGGTCAGGACAATATTTCTCTCGTGCACAGATTTTATTATGCACTCGTGTGCTTACGTGAGATCAGCGTCCTTGGATGACACAAATATCCACTCCTCGTCCTCACATGGGTCCTCCTGCACCACCCTGTGGATAGCCTGACCAACCAGGCCGGTTCCGCCAGTCACCAGGACGCGCATCGGCACCTTGGTACGCTTAGCCTCGCCATTCTGGGCCGCCATATTGTCTGTGTGCAGGAGTAGATGGTTGTTGTTTAGTCATTCTCATCAGAGGTGAAGCATGATATCATATTTTTTCTATTAGTATTAGCTATGCTTGTGCAGTGCAGCTTCGCCATGCCTTAGCTTACGCATATAGGGGGTGATGATGGTAATGACCACTTTTCTAGCCAAGCACTACTGATCAAGCAAGACCCACCCACATTAGCTGTCACACAAATAAAGCCCTGGTCACAACCTGCCGTGGTGCTTTAATTATGTCCGTACGTTTTTTTGGAGGCTACGTCTGCTACGTTTTTTTCTGAAAACGTGGGGAAGGAGTGGCATCGACGAAGGTCACTCGCACGTCAATCGCACGATTTTGCAAGGTGTAAGAGTGTGGTCTGGCTGTGAGCGGCTGCGTGCATTGTACGTTGCACAAGTGGTAAGTGAGTTGTACGTGCTTACAACGTACGATCTCTGTGCGATTGCAACTTTACCATAAGGAGGCCGTACTCATACGTGCGTCTTTCGTACGGTACGTACGGCACGCACGGCTGGTGAATCCACAGACCGCACGCAGAAAAAGTTTTACATGCACTTAAAGTTCTATGGCGTGTCCGCGTGCTCCCAAATACGTATACGTAGGATTCCGTACGGAGGCGGTACTCACCACGCACGGTTGCCCTACGTTTGCCCACGTTTTTGCACGTAGACAGCACGCAGAAGCACGTACGGCGGGTTCTGACCGAAGCTTAACCAGGTGTAGTAATTTACAGAACAATTTACAGAACAATTTTACCACAATACCATAGCTGATTTGGCTTTAGATGATGTTCTGCCACCTCTATCTACTATAATTATAACCAGACCTAGTAATTAATGTGCAGAACTTACAAGAACAATACCACTTGCTGGATGTACATGTACACACAGTGACGGCAGCAACTATATAGACATGTGCCTCCCCGGCCACTAGTAGAGGGATAAATCTTTGAGTACTCTAGACTAGAGGACAATTTTTTAAAAATCTCATCACATTAGGGACAAAACTAAAAGAGAGCTGGGAGAGGTCTTTTAGAAGAGACTCCAAAGAGAACTGCTGTAGATTCCTTCTTGACACCTTAGAGATTGGACCCCCCTGCCTCAGATACCATCAATTGTTTTGAACAATAGATAATTAAGTGGGGATTAGCATCAAACCATAACAATGACATAAAAACAACATGGCAGCCATGTTTTCACAGGAGACTTTTCAAACAATAGAACATTATGTAAGAAAACAGTTTCAAAAAAGAGACTTAGGCCACACCAATTTAATTTCTTGGTTAACGGATTTGCCCGCTGCATTTTTTCTGATTTGCAAATAAAAATAAAAATTCAGAATCAACAATTACTGCAAAATGCTCATATTTTGCCCTGAACAGTTGAAAACAGCCCTTTTCATCCTAGTTGTTACAGTTATTCCATCTTTCAATGCAGTGTTATCATTAAAAGTTCAAAATTCATTGTTTAAATTTTGAACCAGCCTGGTGTGTTGACTTCATGGCTCCTATCGTACCATTTTGGGCCATAATAGGATGCCTAGGCCTGTTTGTTTGTTTTTCGCCCGCCCGCTCCATTACTACTGTAAGTATTTTTCTAGAAAAATCTGTTAACCAAGAAATTGAATTGGTATGGCCTAATCATTAAGTTGATCATATATTCCCAATGGGTAAAACTTAAAAGCTGTGTTCTGCCACCTCTATCGCTAACCAGACCCAGTAATTAAATCTAAATTGTAGAATTTACCAGAACAATACCACAGATAATTTGCAGCGCATTTACACTATAACAGTAAAAACTGTCTAAAACTGCCCATAATATTAGTATATACATGAGTCCTAGACTCCAGGGGTCATCCATATACATGTTGTGCAGCCTAAGAGACGGTTAACGTTGAAGGACAAGCCACTGGTCTGACCAGTCATGACCAGACACCTGAGATAATGGGTGTCATCTGATCTCATGTCTTTTGGTGGCTGCAAGGACAGATCAAATTGGCCAGGCTGTATCCATTGACCAGACATTCCAGGGTTCTACAGTAGCTAGCGCAAAGTATAATTTTAACCCCCTACGCTAAATTCCCCCCCCCTCCGCTAATTTTCAATACAGCATAGGGGGCATTGTGACTGTATTCCTTTGTTCAAGAATGCCAGATCAAATGTGGAAAATTACCAATCAAGGATACATTGTACATACCTTAGAAATAACATTTTTTCCCTTCGGTATCCCTCAAATGGCCTAATTTTTTTTAGCTCAAATTTTTAAAAGCTCCGCACCGCACATCCCCCCCTTCCGCCCCATCCCCCCCTCTCGGTCACTTCGCTCCCTCGACATGCGGCCAGTGCCACTACGCTAAAATTAAATCCTAAATTAAAAATTAAACAGACAGTCATCTCACCACCCTTTGTAACTGTGGGGCCAATGGATTAACAGCCTGGTCAATTTGATTCTGTCTTTGAAGCCAGCAAAATTCTGCTTGGAGTTGGAGATTAGATTTCATCAAAGACTGACCAGTGTCATCAACAAATCTGTTAACAAATTAATTATCCACTAAACTATAAATAAAGAAAACCATAGCTTGGCTTCATGAAAATAATCTAGTACCTAATTTAAAAAATTGTCCATTCATAGAAACATCCTGTATGCTGAAGCACTTTTATCTGTTAATTTTCCCTCCTTCACAACCCAGGCTTGGTCTCATTAATATAATTAATACCTGCCGACTTTGAAGGTAAATATTTTCATCTAGATAAGAGCCAGCATGTAAGTTAACGTTAACGTAAGTAGTCCAGTCAGCTTGTGAATGATCCACATGTAAAATTTTTACCATTATGGTGTAAGTAGTAATAGAGCAACAGTAAAACGACTAATCAAAAGACAAACGGGGCTAAAATAAAACTCAGTGTTTCCATATTTTTAACCATACAACAAATTATGCCCAACCCCGTCGGACTGGAAGTCCAGGTATCTTCAAGGCACTTTAAAGGCCTCTAGCTAGGGCGAATGAAAAGAAGTAGCTGCGTTAAAACTTTACCTTCAAATAATAGTTTCTCGGCACAATTCAGGATATAAACGTTGAATCTAACAGTCGGTGTCCCTCGCAAAAGCAGCCGGGATGAAGATTCGCCACGTGTTTGTTTGATGACTTGCAAAACCGACAACAAAGCACGGCCGGTCTGTCAGCTCAGCCGGGAGGTCAGAGGTTACAGGTCATGAAAGATTAGAGGTTATCAAGAGTAACCTTTCTTATTTTGCTTCTCTTGTCCAGAACACTTTGACACTTCTAACGATTACAAACAAAACACCGTATACTAAACCTCTTAGCAGTGTCCTTTGAAGTATTTCGTTGTAAGAAAACCATTCAATATATTTGTCTTGTAACAATGTCTGCTATGAGGAAAAATGTCTTCTGAGGAGCCCTGGGGACGAGAGTGGAAGTGCCACATGTTGGTGGGGAGGGGGGCTGTGATGGCGGAGTGAGTGAGTCGCTGTCAGATGAAAAGTTGAGGTAAAAGTTGAGTTTCTTATCTTTGAATGACAGATACTGATCTGTTGTTGTTGTCCTTGTTTAACGTCTAATATGTCGCTAGACGTGGTCACTTGGCGCTCGTTGTCGCGTGGTTCAGTTTAAGTTCAGAGTCAAAAAGTCTCTCTAGGATAACTCTTGGTACCTTGTGCATGATCTACACATTTTAATTGTCACGCTTGTGTGAACAACAATAATTTACTTGGACGTGAAGTATCGGAACAATCGGAACAAAATAATATTCCAGTATAACACACCACCGATGTGACCATAACTTATGACAAGCATTTAGTTCATAATTGTAAAGTGACATGTGTAACAACAGTTCCACGACCACATACCTTCCCCAAATGATGTTTACGATTGATGAATCATAAATGATGCAATAAGATCCTCATTTCCATAAATTATATCAGTTGATCATTTTCTTTTACCCAACCTCCTCCCAAGAATGGTAACGGGGGGTGCCCTAGCAAACGCATAGACCTTTGGCAATAGTTTATCTGACCAAAAACCCGCACAACATGAGATATAATATTAACAGATAAAGATCACAACGATTAAAGATGCACAGCTGTGTATTTCACTTGAGTGTAGCGCCTTGCACCCAAGCGTAATGGTTCGCGAAACTTACGGCAGGTTTTTGGTCATAATGCCGGTGGAACGTTCTATCGCAACAGGGGTGCCCTAATTCCGACCCAGATCGATCTGAGAAGAGAGTTTAGAAATTACAATACACAAATTATGATTAAAACAATCTACAACTGTTTTCTGTTCCAAACAAGTCTTCTTTTTACGATTACGCGACTTGCTCCAAAGCGACTGTTTGAAAAGCAAAACCTGCATTTTTGACACGCTCGTCAACCCCCGAACAAGCTCCGAATTCACACAGATTTTTCACTCGTCTGTTGTCGGAGTGTACAAACTAAAACAAACTTTGTGAGATTACCGATATCAACACAAAAACATTCACGGTTCATTCTTGTATTTATTTTTAGGCACGTGCTCCCATGCATAACGCCGCAACAAGGATTTTTCAAACTAGTTCGGTATTAGGGATGGGTCGGAATTAGGGCACCCCCCGTTAATACATGTATTCTGGCATTTCCTTATAAGGTCCTGATTACCATGAAAGTTCATCTGTGTAGGAAAATGTTGAACTTTATTCCAGCGCACAGTTTACACAGAGATCAAATTTTCAGCAACCACTGTCGCCTTCATCAGGATAAGTAATGACCAATCACTTCACAACGTAATCTCGCAAGTCATGGTAACACACACGTGACCTTATTCACACAAGACTTTATTGATATATGTATGTGATGTGAGCAATTGATCAAAAGTGCCAGGGAGTTAATATCGTCCACCATCTCTATTAGTATTAAGTGGTGGCTGGAGTGCCCTCAGATACATACGGCCTCCTTAATGCCTGACTTTTTTAGTCCTGTTCAGTGTCCAGTATTCTAACTTTGTCCAGAGAGACGGTATTGCTAGGTGATTCGATGTGGATGTGTTGAGAAACTTCAGATGACAGCGAGCTGGGGCGTTTGTGTTCAAGAAATCTGGTCCTCAGTGAGCGTTCTGTCTCACTAATATGTAGGATTCTTCGCAGGTCCCCTGCCTTGTGATTCCACATCGAATCACCGGGTCATGCCTTTCTTTGGGCAAAGTCAGAATACTGTCAGAGTGCACACTGAACGGTGAAATGTCTTCAGTTAACAGGTAAAGTGTATGACAGGGAAATTTCAACATGTCAATAATTGCCGACATATCGGCAGATGGACATAAACGGAAGAAGAAGATTAGGACACATTAGCAAGGGAACGGGTTTTCTGCGCGTGAAACATTTGCGCGTGAGAAACTTGCGCGTGAAAGATTTGCGCGTGAAAAATAAAAGTTCCAGAAATATGTTAGAAAATATGCAGTACTAAATTCTTAGGCAGGAAAATGTTGTCACTCTTTTTAGCCAAAATTTTTGTTTGAAAATGTTGGTCCCTAGGGAATAAGCTAATTTGCATACCTTTCATAAAACCTGAACTTTTGAAAATCACTTGAATTTGTAAGAAATACATGGAAAAGTTACTACAGTAGTATGAGGTTTAGGATGGTAAAATGTAACAATCTGAAGCTTTTCTCCATTCTAGAAGTTTGATTTCAATGCTTTCTTAAACAAATTCTTTCACGCGCAAATTTCAACCTTTTCTGCGCGTGAAAACTTAACTATTCAAAATCATCTGAAATCACAGAAAAATGGACAAAACAATTGCAAGGGTATGTAGTCTAGAATGCAAGCAAAATGATGTTAAATTTTTATTTTCTTGTCTTTTTTCCAACTTTTAAGCTCAAAACAGCAAAAATTTTTAAAATCCCTTGGGAATCAGCTAATTTGCATATCTTCATGCGCAGATGTTTCACGCGTAAGTTTTTCACGCGCATATTTTTCATGCGCACAAAACCCCATCTCCATTAGTAAGACCAAGTATATATGTGTCCCTACAGGTTCCTCAGTGCCTGTGAGGCCTTTACTGAAGGGATGATGTGGAAGACAACTCTCATTATCTACATCTTCTCAGCCTCCTACATCAGCGCCATCCTCTGTAACAAGTATGTCCTGTCTGTGCTCCAGTTCACCCTCCCCACCCTCTTCCAAGGCTGGCAAACCTTCACTGCAGCAACAACCATCTTTGCTGCACACTACTCAGGTCACCTGCAGGTCCGTCGCCTCACACCAGGGGGGGTAGTTGAGTGGCTGCCTGCATCCCTGTCCTTCATCGGGATCATCTACGCAGGCTCCCGCGCCCTGTCTCACATTCCCATCCCCATGTTTCTGCTGATACGCAATTCTGTGGAATCTTCTATTGAGATATCTCGTTGGATTGTTCAGAGGACACTCCCAGGTGTTCAGAAGCTAGTTGGATCAGTCCTGACCGTGCTGTCTGCTGTAGCGTTGTGGCAAGTCGACTCACAGTATGACAGGGAGGGATACATCTGGCTGTTCTACCACATGGTGTTCCTGGTAGGGTATAAACTGTATGCAGAGTTCAAGTCCACGGAGCTGAGCAGTATGGAGAAACTGTGGTGTAACTCCATCACCAGTGTGGTACTCTTGGCTCCTGGGAGTATCCTATTGGGACATGTGCAGGATGCCTGGGACTTTCCTCTCCTTACTCACACACATTTCCACGTAGCATTCCTCGCCAGCGGCCCCCTGGCAGCCTGTGTCGGTATTACAGGCATCCTGGTACAAGAAGGAACCAAGTTTCCTGACTACATCTCCTGTACTGTTAAAACCTTAACAATTCTCATGTCTTTGATGGTGTTTCATGTCACCCTGACCACTACTGCATTCCTGTGTATTCTGACAGGGATTGCAGGTGAGGTGTTACAGAAGATTGACGTGCAGGACTTCAGTGCCAGGTTAGACTTGAAGCCTGAGGAAAGAACCAGACTCAGTAGTCATTCCATGGAAATAACAACTGAAACCTGAGTCAGCAGTAATAAGGTCTCAGTAATTTCATTTGCTGGTTCTCAGATTATTTCTCAAAGTAATGAAGCAAGTCAGTGCAGGGCTCAAAATTCATTTTGGGAATAGTAAATTGGTACACCCAACCTAGAAAATTAGGTGCACAAAATTTTTTTTTGGGTGCACCATATGAAACAAAACCTAATTTCAGATCTTACTGCTCCTCTACTGAGCTTGAATCTAAAAATGAGAGCTAACTTCAAAATCTGAAACATTACTACAACAAAGATTTTATTATTTTTCTGATACCAAGAATATCCGGTATTATACACTTCTAATGTTACTTCTGATACTTAGAGACCAAGAATATCCAGTATTATACACTTCTAATGTTACAAATTCCTACAAAAATATTTGGAAAAAAATTAGGTGCGCAACTGCAATTTTGGATGCACTAAGGTGCACATGCACCCAGTATTTCGAGCCCAGTAAAAAAAAGGTCCTACATGTAGGCTATGTGATAGCCCCAAATGCAATAGGAGTGTGAGTGAGTAATAGGAGCCTCAAAGTCAAAATGCTATATACCAAATGCTGGTTTATGATCATGATTTAAGCACTGAATTTTGCTTAAATAAATCACTTTATCAATAAATGGCATGCCCGTAGCCAGGATTTTGAATGGGGGGGTTCTTCCCACTGCTAGAGGGGACCTCGAGCGCCGTAGGCGCGAGGTTCCTAGGGGGCACCCCGGAAAATTTTGAAAAATGAACCTTCTTAAATGGCATTTCGTGCGTTTTTGAGGGGATTTTCAAGAAAAAATCAGAGATAAATTTTTATTCAATGACAAAGGGAGCTGTTTTTCTACGATTCCAGTCCATCTTTTCAAGAAAAAATCTTGGACCTTTACATAAAAAGTGGACCAAAAAGTGGACCTTTACATAAAAAGTGGACCAAAAAGTGGACCTTTACATAAAAAGTGGACCAAAAGTGGACCTTTTAGCCTTGTGGGGGGGTTCTTCCGAACCCCCCTGGCTACGGGCATGCATGGTAACAGCTAGGAAGACAAGGCCTTTTTTCAACTGATGGTGCCAAGATATGAGCATTTTATGCTTGATTCAGAACCTGAATTGTAAATGTGTATGGTGGTGGTGGTGTTTTTTCTTGCAATCAGAAGTGGAGAAATCTGAGAACCAGAAATTGAATTGGTGTGGCAGAATGAGGTATAAAGTTTATCACTTGCCTGCCTAGTTGTTACACACAGCTATACTATATTTCTATTCCATATGCTTTATATTTAACTTAACTAACATTTAAACCCTTGTGCAAAGTTGGACTCCTTAGTATGGTAACTGTTACATGTACAAGTAGTAAGGATGGTGCATGTAGGATGTGTAGATTGTTCATAATCAAATGTGGCAATCAAATGTGTTGCAGACTTTATCTAGTAAAAGCAGCACACATGTACATGTATTTTAAAAGCAGTCAGCTGAGAATGTGCAAATATTATCAGTGCAAATGCCTACTAACTACTACTATTGTTACAGCCACATGTAATGGCTCATAAAAAGAGAGATTGTATATAATATTTAATATAATAATGGTAACCACACTAGTATTCTAACCAAAGTGTATTCATGTCTACACCATTAATATGAATTGTGGTTACATTTTGATGGTAATTATATTTTGATTTTCTATAACATCATTTGACGGGACGAACATGGGTTGGATTTTGATGGAATGTATTTTGAATCTTGTAGCTGAAAGACAGTTAAGAGAAGAAAGGCTACTACATTGTATATGGTTAATTTATTTATTGGCAAATACTTCTTTTACTTGTCATGTTGCACAATATTATCTTCATTCAGTATAATTTACCTTTACCACTAGCCTTTCTTGAAGTTGAGTTGAACAAGGTGACTTTTACTAGGTAGTGCTGCATACAGGTTCACTGGACTTGAATCAGGACTTGTAAGAATGTTTAGGTTCAAGTAAAAAAAACCCTAAAAGTTAAGAACCGAGTCCAGGCTTATTACCAGAAAAGACCATTTCACATACCCCTTTTCTTTCCAAACCACCTAAAACCTTCCGTAGATTGCAAAATCTTTGCTGCAAAATGAAGAAAACATTGCCATCGGGCATCGTCAAGTACCGGCCTCCATGTTATGTGGCCAAAGTTTCACCCAGACAACATTGCAAGGTTGGCAACATGCAATTTTGTATATGCCATGGGTTTAGGTCCGGACTTACAAGTCCGGAACTTAACCTAAACCTCTGGACTTGAATCTGGACCTGAACCTAAAATTGGGTTTAGGTATGCAGCACTAGTTTTAGGTGAAGGAGCAGGGCTTTACTTATGTAGAGTTACCACTGGTGCAATTCCAACATTGTAAAACTATGTTTAAGTATGGATGGTGCATATATTCTTCTAGTGTTTATGGTACAGTGTGGTCTAAGCAATAACATTGGTGCCAATATTAAAACATGTTACTCACACACCAGTGTCTTGTAGTCTATACTGTCAATGAAGCCTTCATTTTCAGGTTATTTTCAGTATATTTAATTTTGAAGTAAATTCCATGATGAATAGTGTAGAGCTTGTCGGAGGGTGAACACGGCTACATTCGCTACATCACAACGTGCAAAATACGTGCCAAACAGTGCAAAAACGATTTCATAGCCTTCTATCAAAGGCAAAACAACTTGACAAGAGTGGAGTTCCTCTTAAATGCTTTTGTCCACTCCCTTCCTGGCCGATCATGCGTTTGCATGGAACATGGGTCGGAATTAGGACCCCTTCCGTAATAGTATTACACGTAACAGGACTTAATGCAATTCTAAGGGCTCCTTTGCAGTCAACAACTTGAGTCGAACTAAATATTCACCAATAAGACATCAGTGTGCAATCATATAAACGTCAAATAAGGAACCGCCATGCAAGTTTGTTGTATTAATCAGTAAGATCGGAATTACTGCCCACCCAGAAGTTCAAAATGGGCCTTATAAAAACCTTATCAATGCGCCATGTTGGATTACAGTGTACGTAAAGGTTTTTCATTTATGTCAAAATAATTATCATATGAATCTCGACGACCAGGTGTTGGCGGGAAAACTGGCATGTTGAACAGACATGCCAGCCAGACGTCGTCTAGACCCGCGTGTCTAGACGTCTAGACTCACGTCACGTCTCGCCGTACGTCGCGACAGAGCGTATATATATATATGCGCACGGGGCCTGGCGCCCATTCTCATGTTGTCCAGCTGAGGATAGTACACGCGCAATCTGCTCTCATCGTAATCTCATTGCTTTGCCTTGCTTTGCTTTGCTTTGAATTCGAAGTTTTGGAGAAAATGGCGAGGAACAATAACAACGGTGAGCCCGATCATATTTTCAGTATTGTTCGCTACACAGTTTCATCTTGCCCATAGAACGAATCTCATCAACAGAAACCCTGGCTTATTCATGCCGATTGATTAGGAATGTTTCGGGCTCTTCTACCGCCAAATTCACCCCGGTAGGACAGTCACTACGACAGTAGCAATCAGCTAATCAAACTCCGTAAACAGAAGAAAGTCCTACAGGCGCAAAATTCCCATTGATCGGGGACAAACTTGGAAGAGTGTCACTTAAACCGGGATATACCAGACTCGAGTGCTTCTTGAAGAAAGGAACACTAACTTCCGTCTCGTAAACATTCGCTACCATCTGAAACTATCGAAGCCATTTCTCCGATTGGTAAACAATAGTGTAAATAATACATGTAGCAGAAAAAGTACGCCACGAAACTCCCTGAAATTTCGTAGCGTAATCTTTAAAACTGGCTACTTTCAAAATGAAATGAAATGGCCACCGGACGAAAACCTACTTGCTTTACATTGTTGACGTTGAAGTTTCCGGTTTTATGTGGACTCAAATTTCCCGCGCTTTAAGCAAATGTTTCAGAGGTTCGCTAGATGGCGCTAGTGATGGATCGGTCCTCTTGTCACAAAATTTAACAAGTGGAATACATTGTATGTATGTTCACAAACTTCGATGTAAATAATTGTACCAACACAGATGAACTTTGAAATTTATGCTATGCTAATCAACTAATACATACATTTAACATCACAATATATGTGCCCTTTAGTAACTCATTCTTTTCTTTAAATCATCAACAGTACCATGGGCCACCAGCTGCAGGTCAGCTGTGGAGAAGTGACCGGGTGAAGCGCAAGCCTGATTGGTTTCGTAAGTTGACAGACTGCTTTGATATTTTTATCTGTCAGGACACTGTATAAAAATTTGCCCAGTTGCTGCAGAATTATTAGGGCAGACACCACATTTGCGTTGCGCAGTAGAGGCAGTAGTGCCTAGTTAATACCTTTGAAAATCCTTTTTTCTCTTGAAAGTTTTGGTCCATTTTGGAGATTTTTGGGCTGGAAGGCACAGGTAGGGTCGAAACTTTCCTACTTTGGTCAAGGTTTGTTTATCTCACCAGTTTAGTGGGCGTAGTGAGAGATGTGAGTGGTTAGGTCTTGACTTGTCTGGCCAGGCGGATGGATATCATGGAAAATGTAGGTCAAAGTTGGGTTTTGTTACTTAGCCATCAGCTGTGGCGGGAATTTGAGGTGGTCGACCCCTGTTTCCTTTCTATTTTTGGGAATCAGACCCTTGTGGCTACCTGGTGCAGAAAAATTTTTGAGATTGAACTTGAAGTATGGGCAAGTACTTTCATGAGGTGTTGAAATAGTGTATTTAAGCATGTGTTCCTATGGCAAGATCTAATAGTATTGTCTGCCCTGAACACCCCCCCCCCTTTACCCAAACTCATTAACTGGATTAGGTTTGGTAATTTTTATTTTCAATATCAGCTACTGGTACCTGTTGTTAGATGATGACCTGATTTGGAGAATATGGATGCATGTTTTGCATGTTTTCTTAGCAAAAGTGTGATCTCATTATGATATGCTGTTTTTTACCTATGGGCTGTGTGTATACTGGATAATTAAAAGTTGCAACAAACAGCTTGGGAAGCTTAGATGACTGCAAAAGTCATATAGGTTTGTTGCAAATGCTGGACTCAGTGATTTATGATGGTTCATAACATAGTATTTTTCACCAATTAACAGCTGTCAATCAAAATGTGCCCTGCCTCAGGGACACCCCCCTCCCCTCAGCACACAAAAATTGTCATTTTCAGTGTTTGTTGGGACGAAAATAAGGATGGATATTGCTGTATATGGCATGGG